AGGGCCAGAGGGTCCAAGGTGACAGCAGAGACGGGAGCATGTGAGGGGAAAGAGCTTTTGAGAAGCCTAGCGACGGCTGACACTAAGAGTTTTCGAGTAAGGTGCTGGCCTACCCAGACCCTGGCATTGCCCAGGCCCCCCTAGCCCAGCCACTTCCTGGGCTTCCCTGGGTAAGCCTGAAGGGGCACTTGCCACAGTCCCTCCTGTGGGCAGCAAGGCTGGGCTCCAGGACACCTGTGGGCAGGGCTCTGCTGCGGTCATCGGACGATCGAACCACCGCAGCTATTGACTGAGACCATTTCCTTTGTTCTCCAGCACGTGTGTGTCTGTCTGTCAGCCTGTTAGTAGCAGCCTTTCTCCGACATGAGCCCTGGTGGCATCATGGTTATGCTTTGGGCTGCCGTCCAAAGGGTTCAGAGTTCAAACCCCCTGGCTGCTCCATGGGAGAAAGACAAAGATGAGAGTTACAGTCTCAGCTCAACCCTGCCCTGTAGGGCCACTGAGTCAGCGTCGGCAGGGAGCTTGGTTTTTGAGGTTTTTTTCCTGACCAGCGTAACGGAGTGTCATTGTGCCCTAAGCAGAAAATAAGCCTTTACACCTGGGATCTGCTCGAGTGCTTCCTGCCCGGGGCTGGGGTGGAGACAAAGCTGCTGACTCGGACTTCTGCTGCTGGTCCTTCTGGGCACCTCCAGCCAGGGGGAACTGCTCTACTACCTGCCCCCCCGCCCCCACCCCCCTCGTCTTCTAGCCCACCCACCCGAAACTGGAATCCCAAAATTTCGCTTCAGTGTGCAGGCCTCCCAAGTGGGTGGGGGTGGGGTGATGCTGCCCAACAAGGCCGGTGACACCTCTCACTGACCATGTCAGCCGCTGCCTGGGCTGTGAGTCAGTGCCCAGGACCCACGCCTTTCTGTTGCGAAGTCGGTTTCCTGGTCTGCCCCTGAAGTACTGCTTCCACCCGGCCCTCAGGCCAGGCCCCCTGAGCAAACAAAGGTGGAATTGCCGCCCTGGAAGAGGCAGCCCAGTGGCTGTCGGGAGCCGTCAGCTCAGTAAGCCCAGCACTGTCCACTCTGACCAGTCAATCAAGAGAGATGAATAGCTTCCTATTTCCGATGG